CACTGTATGCATAAATAAACCTCCCTAAAAGCCAATATGTTTCTTGGCCAGATTTCTGTAACACATCTATCCTACTGAATTAATGTTTTCATATTGTGCCCATAAATGGGATAATTTGATATATAAAATTGCTTTAGACATTTTTTGAGAACTTTGGTATCTCTTCCATTTATGGCCTATGGGTCTTTTTTTTTCTTTTTGGGTCACACCCGGCAATGCACAGGGGTTACTCCTGGCTCTTGCTCAGAAATTACCCCTGGCGGTGCTCAGGGGACCATATGGGATGCTGGGAATCAAACCTGGGTCGGCTGCGTGCAAGACAAACGCCTTATCCACTGTGCTATTGCTCCAGCCCCGCCTATGGGTCCTTTAGGACTAATTTTGCTGGAAGAAACCAGCAGGTGGTGCTGATTCCCTAGTATGGTAACTATCTCCAGAACTGAATTTCAGCTTTTGAAAGTTCTGTAAGGTAGTAGAATCACATGACTTACCAAAGAAAAGTTACTTGTATAGTTTTCTGGTTTTTCCCTCTGAATTCTAAATTTTCTGTTGACTTTTTAAATTTAACTTAAGTGTTCAAGTGTGTGTGAAATAATATAGGGGCCAGAGAGGTAGTACAGTAGGCAGGATGCTTGTCTTGCATGCAGTCCATGCAGATTTGATATTCGATACCCCACATGGTCCCCTGAGCACATCAGGAGTGATTTCTGAACACAAAGCCAGGAGTAAGTCATAAGCACAGCCAGGTGTGACCCACGAACAACAAAAAATAAGATGCCACAAACGCAAAAGCAGCCAAAGAATTCGGAGAGCAGCCCCACAGAGGAAATGTGGAGCAGTAACCAACAAACAGCACTGGACCTTCGCTAGCTCCTACTCGTGTGGATTGGGTGGGAAAAGGTGAAACACTGGTTGATTAAAGCCTGTGGAAAGAAACTGCAGGCTGAAAATCCACCCACAACTTTATGAATCTCTACCTCCACAAGGCCTGAGTGGGAAGCTAGACTAGCACCCGGTAGGGTTCCTGGCTTGCCTTTGAGGCTTGGAGAGTGCATCTGTGACATGGACAAGACGATCTAGCATTTCAGACTGAGCTGGTGGGCAGACAGGTAGGCTGCTGAATTGACAATGAAGACTCTCCCCTCCCGTACACTGCATCTGAGTAAAGGCATTCACTCAGACTCAGAGAGGAATTACTTCACCTGACATCTGAATTATAGGGGTACCCAAGGGAAAGCAAAGAGGACAGAGAGCTGTTGGTCAAAGAAATTCTAGCTAAGAACTTCCTCAGTCTGTGGATTGAGTCATAGACCCAGATCTAAGAAGCTCAAAGAGTTCCAAACAAAGTAAACACAAACAGAAGATTTTCAAGACATACATATTGTCAATAACAGGACAAGAGCCAAAGGTAGAATCCTAAAAGCAGCAAGATTAAAAAAGAAACTTGCATGTAATCCTTTAACCACAGCAGATCACAGCAAATCTATCAAATTGAAACTCTACATGCCAGAAGAGAATGGTAGGACATACCAAACATATTGGGTGAAATAAACATCCTAAGAAGAATACTTGATCTAGCTATGTCACTGTTCATGTTAGAAGAAATAATCACTGTATCACTGTATCACTGTCATCCTGTTGTTCATCAATTTACTTGAGTGGGCACCATTCATCCCAGCCCTGAGATTTTAGCAGCCTCTGCTTACTCATTTTTTCCAATGCTGCCAAAATGATACAAAGCTTTATGGAAGTGAAAGAAATCCATGGTCATTAAATGAGCTTTGAAGGGAGCTCTAAATTATCTCCATCAAAGACAAAGAACCCTTCCGTAGGAGTAGCAAAATACTAAAAATATAAAATGGGGAAGTTAGGAGAGAAATAATGGAGTCTAATTCAATACACTTGAGGTTCATTTGCTTTGGACTTAAGAGGGGTTACAGACTGAAAACATAAGACACAAACTACATGGAGACACACATGAATGGTCATGATAAATTCAGACTCAAAGGCTAGAAAACAATCTTACAGATGAGTAGTAGCCCAAAAAGACCTTGTCAGCCACACTTATATTAGACAACATAAACTTTCTAATTAAAAATGGTTATGTTGAGAGATAGTGCTATGACACTTGCCTTGTACACATCCGACCCGAATTTGATCCCCAGAACCCCATATGGTTCCCTGAGCACTGCCAGGAATAGTCCCTGAATGCAGAGCCAGAAGTAACCCCTGAATATCCCTGAGTGTGACCCAGAAGCTGAAAATTAATTTTTAAAAAAGTAAAAATAAGTTAATGAGGAAATACTGGTTTTGAAGGAAGAAATGGCTTAATAGAGACTAGAGAGGTAGTTCAGTGGGTAAGGCCTTGTACATGGCTAATGCAGGTTCAATACCCAGCATCCCATATGGTCATCCAAGTATTATTGGAATAATTCCTGAGTGAAGAGCCAGGAGTCACCCATGAGAATTGCTGGGTGTGCCCCCCTCAAAAAAATTACTCTCCAAAGCATACAGAGTCAATTGCAGTCCCTATAAGAATGCCCAGGATATTTTTCAAAGAAATAGATAAAACACTTTTAAAATTTAAATGGAAAAATGACTCCACTAAATAGCTAAAGAACATCCAAAGAAATCCTGGGGGGGAAAGATGGGAGGCATCACTTTACCCAAGTTCCAATTACTACAAAGCAGTCGTAATTAAAACAATTTCACATTGGAATAGTGAGACCCCCAATCAATGGAATAGAATTGAAAATTTAGAGACAGATCCTCAAGTATTTGGTTAGTCAATCATCTATAAATATAAAAAATATATAAAGTAGAGCAAGGAAAGCCTCTTAAGCAATTGATAGAAGAAAGCTGTTGGCCACATGCAAAAAAAAAAAAAAACCTCCATATCAGACTTGAATCCGTAAGGTATATAGAGAAAAACATAGATAGATCACCTTGATATCGAAATTAGAAACGTCTTTAAAGATGAAATACCACTGAACAAGGAAGTGGAAGCAAACATAAGCAAATAGGAAGGATGACACTAAATGAATAAGCTTCTGGACAGAGTGATAGTACAGCAGATAGGTGTCCTATATGCTTTCCCCAGGTACCTTCAGCAGTAACCACTGAGCACCACTGGGTTTAGTCCAAAAAGAAAAAAAATGGGCCAAAGCAATAATACAGTGGATAGGATGTTTGCCTTACATACAGTAGACCCAGGTTCAATCTTGGCACTTCTTATGGTCTCCTGAGCATGACAGGAGCTATCCCTGAATGCAGAGACAGGAGCTGCCAGCCACCCCCCCCCGAAAAAAAAGAAGGAAGGAAGGAAGGAAGGAAGGAAGGAAGGAAGGGAAGGAGAGAAGGAGGGAGGGACGGTGAGAGGGAGGAAGGAAGGAATGAAAGAAAGAAAGAAAAAAAGGAAAGGTTCTGTCTCTCAAAGGAAAGGAAGACAGAACACACAAAAACAGCCCACAGACTGGGAGAAATTATCCACCCACCTTTCATCTGATGAAGGGTTAATATTTAAGATATATAAAGTTCCAGTAGAACTTTACAAAAAAAAATCCAATCTCACTGAAAATGATGAAAAGAGATGAACAGAAACTTCCTCAAGAAGAAATTCAAATTGAGAAAGCACATGAAAAAAATGCTTTATATCACTAAAGCATCAGGTGAATGCAAATCAAAGCAATGAGGTAACACCTCACACAAAAGAGACAGGCACTTCATTGCAACACTATTTACAACAGCCTAAATCTGAAAATAACCCGAGTACCCAAGAACAGATGAATGGATAAAGAAGCTATATCTACACAGTGGAATACTACACAGTTGTTAGAAAAAAACGAAGTCATGAAATTTACTGATACATGAACGAGCATCATGCTGAGTGAAATGAGTCAGAGGGAGAGGGACAGACATAGAATAATGGCTCTCACTTGAAAAACAGTAGGAAAATAATATCCAAAGACAATAGAAATGAAGACCAGTAGGACTGGCTCTTAGTAGAAAGCTTGTCACAATGGGAGTAGTGCAGTTAGGTGAGAGAAACCACTCTAACAGTGATAGTGGGATGTGATCACTCTAAACAAAAACTGGGTACTGAAAGGAGATGGAGTTATATGTATGATCCCCTTATCATAACAGTATTGTAAGCCATACTACCTAAAAGGGAAAAAGAAAATTGCCTGCCATTAAATCAGGCTGGGGGGGTGGGAGGGTAACTTGGGACATTGGTGGAGGGAAGTGAACACTGGTGAAGGGATGGGTGCTAGAACTTTGTATGACTGAAAAATCATAAACAATTTTGTATCTCATGGTGATTCAGTAAATTTTTAAAAATTATTTTTACAAAAACAAAACTAAAATATTTTACACATTATATCTAGAATCATGAGTACTGGGAATAAAATATTTGTGTTGTTCCAAGATTATTTTAAAAAGGAAAATCGAGCATATTACTCAGCATTTCTATTTGGCATCTACCCCCAAAAGCACAAAAATCTTTAATTGTTTTTGTTTTGTTTTGTTTTGTTTTTTGGGTCACACCCAGCGATGCTCAGGGGTTACTCCTGGCTCTGCACTAAAGAATCACTCACTCCTGTCGGTTCTTGGGGGACCATATGGGATACCAATGATTGAACCCGAGTTGGCCATATGCTAGTACCCTCTATACCCTGGCCCTTAAAAATCATTAATTTAAGGGGACTGGAGCAATAGCACGGCGGGTAGGGCGTTTGCCTTGTATGTGACCAACCGAAGTTCGATTCCCAGCATCCCATATGGTCCCCTGAGCACCACCAGGGGTAATTTCTGAGTGCAGAGCCAGGAGTAACCCCTGTGCATCACCAGGTGTGACCCAAAAAGCAAAACAAAACAAAAAAATCATTAATTTAAGAAGATATTTGCTCCCCTTTGTTTATTGCAATGCTCTTCACAATAATCAAGATCTGGGACCAGCCCAAATGCCCAAGGACAGATGAGTGGGTGAAGAAAGTGTGTTATGTAAACACAATAGAATGCTGCTCTTCTGGAAGGAGAGATGAAATATTGCAGTTTGCTGAAATTTGGATGGAACCAAAAAGTATTTGACTGGTTGAAGTGAATCAAATCACAATCACGATCATCCTGTTGTTCATCAATTGCCTCGAGCAGGCCCCAGTAATGTCTCCTTCGCCCTAGCCCTGAGATTTTAAAAAGTGCCATATTCAAGGCTCTTTCAGGGTTAAGAGAATGAGACCCATCATTGTTACTGGTATTTGGCATATTGGGTATACCACGGGGAGTTTGCCAGACTCTGCCATGTGGGCAGGTTAATTCGGTAGCCTGCCAGGTTGTCCAAAGTAAGAATGAGATAATAAGATCTTGCTTTCCAGGAGCTGGGTTTTATAGTCTCTGGGTCTTGGCCGTTGATGGGATTACACGGCGCCAGGGTGGGGGGGGGGCAGTTGGTGGGTGTGACCCGTGCCTACTGGAAGATGGAGGATCTGGGTGGAGGATGCTCAGCTCCCATCTGAGCAGGCTTGGAGATCTCAGCCCCAGGACCCTCATGCCTTTGTTCCTCTGCAGGTACCTTCATGCGTGTGGAGAGTGGTCTCAGCATGGTTGTGGCTGGTTCTGGAGGTCATAGGCTGCCAGGGCTCTGCTCGGGGCAGGGAGGGAAACTCAACCTATCCCCCTCCAAGGGGCCCTGGCGAGGACAGCCAGGTGTGGGGCAGGAGACTCTGTGCTGTTCTCTTCCGGGAACTGGGTTTTGTAGTCTCTGGGTCTTGGTCGTTGATAGGATTACGTGGTGCTGGGGGACAGTTGGTGGGTGCGACCCATGCCTACTGGAATATGGAGGATCTGGGTGGAGGATGCTCAGCTCCCATCCCAGCAGGGTTGGAGATCTCAGCCCTGGGACCCACATGCCTTTGTTCCTCTGCCGGTACTTTCATGCGTGTGGAGAGTGGTCTCAGCATGGTTGTGGCTGGTTCTGGAGATCTTCGGCTGCCGGGACTCTGCTGAGTTTCTCTGTTGAGTTTCCCTCACCGCCCCGAGCGGAGCCCCGGCAGCCGAGGACCTCCAGAACCAGCCACAACCATGCTGAGACCACTCTCCACACGCATGAAGGTTTGGGCAGAGGAACAAATGCATGCGGGTCCCGAGGCTGAGATCTCCAAGCCTGCTCATCAACGGCCAAGACCCAGAGACTATTAAACCCAGCTCCTGGAAGAGAATAGTGCAGAGTCTCCTGCCCCCGCGCCTGGCTGTCCTTGCCGGGGCCCCTTGGAGGGAGGCGGGTTGAGTTTTCCCTCCCCGCCCCGAAGTGAATCAAAAAGAGGCCAAATACCAAATGATGTCTCATACATATAATAAAAAGAAAAATAGTAATGGAATAACAGATCCCATGAATCTGCCTGAGAACTGAGTTTGCTAAGAAGGCACCTAGACACAGTGAGAGGGATGCTAGCACTCTGGCATAAGTGTGGTGAATAGCATCCTAAAACAATTGTAGGGGCTGGAGCGATAGCACAGTGGGTAGGGCATTTGCCTTGCACACGACCGAGCCGGGTTCGATTCCCAACATCCCATATGGTTCCCCAAGCACCACCAGGAGTGATTCCTGAAGTAACCACTGTGCATCACTGGGTGTGACCCAAAAAGCAAACACACACACACACAAACATAAACAATTGTAGACTGTTAATGTAGAAATTTTGGATCACTGTATTTTTTAAAAATCCAGCCAGCTTGTTCTTCAAGCTCATGCTTTCCCTTGGACACATTTCCCCTCTCTCCTCTCACATCTTTGTAAGCAAGTTCCATTCAATAAAAACTACCTCGCACAGAGATTCAGAAGTAAATTTCTAAAGAGATCTATAAGTGCCAGAATTTCTCCAGTTTCCCGCACAAAACTGAGTCATCCTGGGGCAGCTTGGAGGGGGGTGAGTGAGTCCCCATGCCTGCTCATACAGGGCCCTGACAGTTGAAAACCACAGTCCACAATCACCACCATGCGTCTGGCCGGACCCCACAGTCAGACGAGCCTCATCCAGAACTTAATTTGTTGAAACATTCAGGTATGCAGGTTTTGTGAATGAAATCTCCAGCTTTCACAGGACTGGGAATGGGCTACCTCCCCACATCTCCCTATACTTCCAGAATCCCACCAATCATGCACATGCCCCAAAGCTGCCAGTCAGTTAAGAATTTAACTCCAGTTGTATCACCCTGTTAGAAATTTTGTATACCCTGGAATGTGCAGCTATGATTTTGGCTGTGTGACATCTCAAACTATATAAGTGATAAACCAGGAGTAGCACATGAGATTGGACGGAATATAATGCAGAAGGAAACCAACCTCAATTAACAAAATATAAACACTCTTGAGCTTATTTGCCAACGTGGGTTGGCCCATACCTCAGGCAACCAGAAGCGAATGTCTGAGCTTGCAAAGCAGTGCAGAGAAGCAATAAAGGAAGACCTCAAAGAGAGAAGAGCAGCAGTGCTGATAGATGTGGCAGAAGCCGGTAAAAGCATTTGCAATGCCCACCTGTCCTTCGCCAACTACAAGATTAAGATGACTGCCCTCCAACGTCCTGATGGATCTCTCATATCTTCCAGAAGGGCAATGGAGAAGATTATCCATGAATTCTACTCGGATCTCTTTGATAGCCATATCCACCTGCCCATATACCAAATTCTGCAGGATGGATATGTTGTTCCCAATGTTCTCCCTTCCGAAATCTGACACGCCATTTTGTCGGTAAAGAAGTGAATAGCACCCAGCCCAAACAAGGTCAGACCTGAACACCTGAAGAACCTGCCATCAGTACTCATCAATACACTGGCTCTGCTCTTCACACGCTACCTATCTGAATGCAAGGTTCTGTCCCAATGGAAAACCAGCAGGACTGTACTACTGTACAAGAAGGGAGACATCCACAACATTAGCAACTATCACCCGATCTGCCTGTTGTCTGTCATCTACAAGCTTTTCACTTGAGTCATCCTGAATAGGAATGGCAGACAGAACACTAGATGAAGGAGAACCATGAGAGTAAGCCGGGTTCCGCAAAGGATTCAGCACGATCGACCATACCCACACAATAACCAATCTCATTGAGGTTTCTCAGGAGTTCAAGATGCTGCTCTGTCTAACGTTCATTAATTTAAAGAAGGCCTTTGATTCTTTTGAGATGGAAGTGGTCATCGAAGCCCTAGCCAATCAGGGCGTTCAAACTCAATACATCAGGATCCTCCTTGAGCTGTATTACGAATTTACTACCAGGATCTCACCATTTTACAAAGAAGTGATCATCGATGTCAAGAGAGGCGTTCGGCAGGGTGATACCATTTCACTAAAAGTCTTCAGTGCCACCCTCAAAAACGTCATGCGATGACTGGAATGGGAAGGAATGGGAGTGAAGATAGACAGTCGGCAACTACACCACCTCCGGTTTGCTGATAACATTGTTCTAATAACACTAAGCATTAGCCAAGCGACACAAATGCTGGTCAACTTCGACTGTGAGTGTGGAAAGGTTGGACTCCAGCTGAATCTCACGAAGACAATGTTTATGAGAAACAGTCTTGTTTCTGATGTTCCATTCACTCTCAATGGAACGACCATCTCTGAATGCAACAGTTATGTGTATCTAGGTTGAGAAGTCAACATGACGAATGATCTGGCATCTGAGTTGTTTCAGAGGAAAAGAGTGGCCTGGAATGCCTTCAAGACATTGAAGAAGGGGGTATGGTGCCGCCAGCAGGTCAATCTGTACCTGTGAGGCGAGTGCATCAGCAGCCTCATGGTGCCTTCAGACTTCCAGATACCCCAAAATTGCTGCTGTGCCTTTGGCCAGACCCCAAAAACTTGGGGCAAAGTTTACCAAGAAAGTAAAAGGCCAGAAGTTAGGTATGTGGGAAACATACCCACAAACCACCTCCGGCTCAGCTATATAATTGGAGGCAAGGCCTCTTTGGTTCCTGATTGAATTGCTTAATGGACATGATCCCAGAGACTCAGAAACGAATCTCAGAACCCAGTGACTTTAGGTAGAAATGTGTCTGGTCTCTGCAGTAGGCTACCGGTGCTGGGCCAACCCAGGTGGGAATAGGTTTCGTGCCTTGGCCTGTTCCCCCTGGCGGTCCAGTGGCCGCCATCCGTCTGAGGCCACTGGATAGTCACATTTGGGCCCCCAGTGACGAGACACAAGGGCCTCAACGGGATGAGGGTGGAGCCAGGCTTGTCCTCCCCACCCCAACGAGACCCCAAGTCATTGCCCACGAATGGCCTCTCTGGCTCCTGATCAAGCTGCTTAACGGCCATGATCCCAGAGACTCAGAAACAAAGCTCAAAACCCAGTGGCGTTTGGCAGAAATGGATCTGGACTCCACAGTACGTTACTGCCGCCGGGCCACCCCAGGGAGGAAAGGGTGTTGTCCCTCCGCCAGCTCCCTCTTGGCAACTTGGTGGCTGTCATCCTCCAGAGGCCATTGGACAGTCAGGCTTGGGCCCACAGTGACGAAACTTGTTGGGTCTCACGGGATGGGGGGGGAGGTGGAGCCGGGCCTGTCCTCCCCACCCTAACGAGACCCCAAGTCATCGCCCACAAACGGCCTCTCTGGCTCCTCATCAAGCTGCTCAACGGCCTTGATCCCAGAGACTCAGAAACAGATCTCGAAACCTAGCGGCTTTTGTCAGAAATGTGTCCGGACCCCGCAGTAGGTTACTGTCACCGGGCCACCCCAGGGGGGAATGGGTTCTGTCCCTCCGCCTGCTCCCTCTTGGCGACTTGGTGGCTGTCATTCTCCAGAGGCCATTGGACAGTCAGGCTTGGGCCCACAGTGACGAAACTTGTTGGGTCTCACGGGATGGGGGGGAAGTAGAGCCGGGCCTGTCTTCCCCACCCCAATGAGACCCCAAGTCATCGCCCATGAATGGCCTCTTTGGCTCCTCATCAAGCTGCTCAACGGCCATGATCCCAGAGACTCAGGAGCAGATCTCTAAACCCAGTGGCTTTTGGCAGAAATCCCTCCAGATTTAAGTGTTAAAATTTCAGAATTTCAAAACCACATGGCCCTACTGCAGCCACACGA